GACTTATTGGGCGGTAGTTGTTAGGACTTGACTTTGAACCGCTCTTATGTAGAGGGGTTATGTTAGCTCGTCTCCAGTCTTGTGGTAGGTATCCTTCATCTAGTGATTTCTTGTAGATTAAATAGAGGGGATGGGCTATAGTGTCTGCTAGTTCCTTGAGGATAATTCCTTTGATTTTGTCCGGTCCTGGTGATTTGTTGGTTTTCAGATTTTTTAGTTCAAGGGTCACTTCTCCTTCGCTTATCTGCCAGTTGGTAATATAAGACCCTATATATATGTAGTCTATGACTGGTATATTCTTTGTGTCCTCATCTGTAAAAACTTCTGCGAAGAATTCGTTAAGGACTTCTGATTTTTCTAGGTTTGAATTTGTTTGTGTTCCATCCTTTCGATCAAGATCAGGGATTCCTACTCTGGATTTTTTCTTATTGTTGGCATATTTCCAGAATGGTTTTTGATTATATTTTATCGTTTTTGCCATTTTCTTTTCATATCTTCTTATGGCTTTTCTTACTTCTGACTTGGCTTGATTACATGCTTTCCTAAATATCATTTTATCTTCTTCATTCAGAGTATCATCTTTCCTTTTTCGTGTCATCTTGTTAAAAGCTTTCCGTTTGGTTCTTATCGCCTTCATACACTCCGTATCTATCCACGGTTGTCTCTTTTTTCCCGGTGTAATTTTGGGGATATGTTTTTCTGTGGTTTCTTCTAATTTGGTTTTGAATATTGACCAGCTTTCTTCAGTTGTTTGGCCTTCGAAGATTTGTTCCCAGTCTACACTTAAATCACTTCTCATTTTCTTGAAGTCTGCTTTCTGTAGAAGTTCTATCTTTTTCTCATTTGGTGTGAATTTTTGTGCACAGTTTATAGTCATAGAAAGCATGTGGTGATCACTTCTCCCCAGCGGTGGGTTGTTTTCTAGGTTGCTTATTGTGTCTGGCTCATTTGTAAGTACTAGGTCTAGTAGATTTCCTTGTTGTCCTGTTCTGGTTCGTGTGGTTTTCATCTGATGTTGGGTCAAGAAGTTGTCATCAATTATTTCAAGCAGGTATTCCGAAGTTTCCTTATTTGGTCCATTTAGCGCCGATTTGATTTCCCAGTCAATCTGTGGTAGGTTGAAATCTCCAACTACTAACATGTGTTTGGGTGACTTTCCACATATTTCTGTGATTTGGTTTAGTACTGCAAATGAATTGTCTTTGGTACTGCTCGGGCTGCGATATATACATCCTATTGTACATTCATGTTGTCCAGATCCTACAGTGATCCATATAGATTCAGCTTCGTTTCCTGATAATTCAATTTGTGATGATTTGATGTGGGATTTCACATATATTATTGTTCCCCTGGTGTTTGTCGTATCAATATTGTGGAAACTGTTGTACATATCGAGTTTAAGTTCTTGTTCTAGAACTGGGTATTTCGAGTTTTTTGGTTTAATTTCTGTTAGAGCAATGATGTCTGGATCTTTCATCTGGATAATGACTTTTAATTCGTCTCGTTTGTTCATTAGTGAATCACAGTTTCCATAGATGACTGTTAATGGTTTCAGGTTTCTGTCATTACTAGGATTAGTCAAATTTACAGCTTTTTCCCTTTGCTTTTTGTTGTTTCCTATTGTTTTATTTACACTATTTACACTATTTACAATTTTTTCCTTCTTCTGTCAGTCTTTTTTGCTACTGCTCCGGTAGCTTGTTTCTTCTATTATTTCAATTTGCCTGTCTGGAGTATGATATTCACTTGTTGTTTGAGGTAGGGGGGAGGGATTGTCTGCTCTGTGGTAGCTAGCTGATTTTTCTATCTCAATTCGTCTGTTTGAGTTTGGGAAATGTTGGTGAGGTTGCCATGGTGATCGTGGTGGATGGTTACTCGAGTCTCTAGCTTACAGCTAGACGAAACTTCATTGATTTCGTATGTACTGTGCTACACGCACCTACACGCACCTAGAACTCATTTTTAATAAATTTTATAAATATTTTTAAGAATATTAATCATATTTAGGATGAAGCGTTGCTTGTCTGGATTTAGATATTTCAAAATTTCATTTCGGAGTTTTGACACATGGTGAAATTTTCTCGCTGTAGCTAAAAATGGCTTCCGGTTCTGGACGTGAATAACATTTGAAATTATTCTCGCTTAAAGAAATCAAATATAACAAATTTCAAGACGGGGATGTGAGCTGATGTTCTTCAAATCTATACATAAAGGTATATTTCATATTATTATGCCATATTTACTGTGCGTGTGACACAATGATTTACAATATTTATAATACTAAGGCAGCTCAATCTTCCTCCTCAAAGCCGGAATATAGAGAAGGCTTTGGACCGAAGTAAGTGGATGGTACATTTGGCTTTCCATGTCTGATTCTATTGTATCATCAGTGTGGGTTGAGATGTTATCCTCTTCGTCTGAAATCTCCCTTACATTTGTATCAAGTTGTGGTCTGCGTGTATACTGTTGTCTTGGTGGATCAGCTTGGCGTTTCTTTGTTATCTTTCCATGAAAGGAAAAGATATACAGTTGGGGACATAAATAAATGACAGGTGGATTTGCTGAAGTGAGGATTTCCCATGTTAAAAATAAGAGAATTTACAAGAGGCCATACATCAGTGGATGAGATTATACAAAATGTAAAATATACAAATTTTAAGCGATATATATCTAGACAATATTGGAAATTATGGGCTTTCAGACCACCATAATTAGGAAATGGTGATCGAAAATCGACCTGTCATTTATTTTTGTCTAAAAGTTTTGTGACCGCGCTCAGTAACATTTCTGATCTTCATATGCATGGGCCTGTTTGTTCTCCAAATCAATACAATCAATCCAATTCCATTTACAATCAATATAAACTGAAAAATACGAACAAAATGAACTATATTTACCTTCAAAAACTTCCGCAGATTTCTTCCATGCGAACTCTAGGTGTCATGACCTCTCTAACTTTATATCAATCCGCCAAGCAGACGCCGGTCTATTTACTCATTATATTTCTTTTCTATAAGACAAGTCCGTGATTATATTCATTATTGACTTTGATTTGTTTTCAAACCAATTTAACATTACTCTGAAACTATCCTTTAGTAATGTGATATGATTCGAATGTCTTGAAGAAGTTTAGTGAAGATAAATGTAACAGAACTATATCCTAATCAATCAACGATTGATTTAAGAGACATCTATTTAAAACTTAGAAACATAAACTACTTCTGCGTTTTATTCAGTAATATCCATAAAAGTATAGTCCATAAAAATTATGTATATACATGCCAACAGCCATATTTCAACTTTTGTGCTACGTTGCTGATTTTATGACAACCATGGAAAGCGACAACTAAACAATTAGTCGGTGATGTTACATGTCATCTTGGATTTCCAAGGTATGATGTTTTAATATGATTGAAAATCAAACTGGGAAACGAGTTTGGTTACATGTACCAATCGAAAAAAGTGTTGATATGTATTTTGGGTTTTACCTCATTCTCTTTGTATCCATTCAGAAAGATTCCATAACGAAAAGAGTTTTATATGTCTCTGATACAGTGGATCCAGGAAATATAGTCTTTTCATGAAATAATAATTTCTAAAAATATGGGATGCAGACTTCAACCAATTGAGCCAAAATTATTGTAAAAGTGATACTTTTTGAAGGAATTTAACTCAACATGTCCATTATAGATTCCTTACACAAAAGGACTTTGCTTATTGGGTTGAGGAACATTCATTTATGGGATAATTCATGGATAGATCAAACAATACATTTAAATAATAAAATATATATTTATTGAAATATAAAAGAAATAAAAGATCTACAAAAAGTTATCAATTCCACAAAAGGTGCATAGAATTATCTTCATAATGTTTTGTGTTTTCGTGAGAGTATAAATTCTATAATACAATGGCATGCATAATTGCGAAGTTAACCATCTATCCCAGATTTAAAGCAGATATGAAATGGTATTTTTAACCTAAAGGAATCAATATCATTTTTTGATAGATGTATTTGGACATGTTTTCTCATCAGTAGTGTGAAAATTATTTCACTCTAACGATCGTTATAGCTGCTTAATAAGCAATATTCGAATTGGTTGTGACATTATTGGCCCCCAGGTGATCTTTCACTGGTCCCCACGTGGCTCGTTTTGGTCCCTTAGATCATGACGTCATAATGCCAAAATGTTTTGTTATTTGTTTACACAACAATCTTATGGTTGCCGTGACGTTGTGATTACTAAGGAACCAATAAACCAAAGCTATATTTTGTATATGACATTACTAATCACGTGAGGGCCAATTTGATTGATCAGTTAGTTTTATTTCGTTATCTATGACCATTAGCAGTGATCTAACATTTATTTTATAATGGCTATCGCGAGAACTCTACGTTGGGCTAATGGAGAAAACCGCATTTTTGTAGCTGCAAGTTGAGAAAAGCTATTTCAGTTGTCCTTTAAGGATTTAGTAAAACAAAAAAAAATTGAATTCACCCTTATATAATGTATGGCCTTATGGGCCTACCTCTTAGAATATCTTTTAATTAGCTTACATATGCCCCCTCTGTATTTGCAGTCTTGCAGTATCTGTGCCCCATGCTATTGTCAAACCAGCTAGAATTAACCAGATGCAAGTAGGTAGTTACCAGTCTCATCACTAGGTGGCTCATTCGGGTTCAATTTTCATATTACCCTTATGTATCTGATAGTTATACAAATGAAAATATGTCCAGTAAAACAAAATATCATCTGTCCAAGAAAAGATATTTCACTTTTTGTGATTTTATAACATGAGGTCTACGGTGAAGCGTCCCGACCTACATGTAGAAGTCACACTTTCAAAGAAAATTAAATTTTCAAAGTTGATCAACAATTTTTGAAACCACATTTCTTGATGTAATTCAACCTGTAGATTTCAAATATGACATCACTTTGACTGAATTTTGAATAGCCTATCTAATGATTATTTCTACGCATCTAGCCTATTGAGGAGGATGACTCAATGAATTTCTCAAAATGATTTTGGAATGGACTGTGTCTATACTAACTAAAAGTGGTCCAATTTTAAGTGTGATATTCCTTCATGACTAGATATGTGTGACAATGCTCATAACACAGTCTGGAATCTAATTCATATTTTGTCATGCCTCTGCTCCATAAGGCTTAATCCATTACACAATCAATTCAGACTCCTTTGCACTTATCCATGAATATTGAAGAATATTCAATCCAAATGTGACCCCTCACACTTCATGATTCATTATATGGCATTTTTTATTTCACCATATCACTTATAACAATTCATGTATTATGTGTCAATGTTTGATAGTTCCCCAGTTATATGACTGTCATGCATAGCAGCCAAATGTTCCACAATCAATTCTTCAATAGCAACATTGTTTTTTATTTGTTCTTCACTCAATGCTATTTTCTCTGCACAGTCTCTTGTAATAAGGACCACCTCAAGCTTCCTGGTTTCCAGTATGTTGGCTATCACCACCTTGAAGCAAAGAATGACAATTCAGTGCTATTGAGGCTTAAGTAATACATTTATGTTTAGAATTAATTTGTAGCTGTATGATGAAAGGATGGGTATCGATATGGTGAACTTTTTGAACACGCGTTTCTTTTAAACCGGTCATCAAAAATTTCTGCAAAATTTTACATTTAGTCAATTTAATGGTCATCTTTTGAATGGTAACAATATAATTTGAAATAAATATATATACTTTTCTCTATATTGTTTTAGAAAACACATCAGACTTTTCTTTTGTTCTTGGCATCATATGTTCAGAATGAAATGAAACATCTATCCGAACCTCATTGGAACAAAATGACATAAACACAACGTGCTTAGGTAGGTCTCTCAATATTGTAATTGTACAAAGAAACGTTTGGTTGGTTTAAAAAAAAAATCTAGGTTTATCTTAATTTCTATCTATTTTGGGGTTTTTGTTTTAATTTTTTGAATACTTTGTGCTTAATCAACCAAAATTTCCTTTGTATAACTATAATATTGAGAGGTCTAAGAAAATTTTGTATATGCTATTTTGTTCAAACAAGCTTTGGAAAGATATTTTATTTAATTCTCAAGAATTGGTAAAAAGGAACAAAAAACAATTGCACTAAAAAACAAAAATGTTAACAAAAACAGTTATATGTATAAAAAATATATCATAATATATATAATTTTCGCATTAAACTGTTGTCAATCAGTCAAAATTACATAAAGGACAGTGTTTTTTTACAGAATGTTTTCAGTAATTGGTTTAAGAGAAAAACATTGTTGAATTCAGTTCACCATATCGATACCAATCCTTTTGTTTTTTATTTCATTTTTTCTCATATCATCTAGCTCTTCTTTTTTAAATGCATCTTTATGTTAGATAAGATATGCTAGAATCAAGTTTGTTTTCCATCATTAATCCATACATATCATATTTTGAGATACAATGTACATGTAGATGACTGAGATCAACTAAGCATTTTATCTATTAACCCTTATTCATTAAACCAATGATAAGCTTGCCATATATGTACCTGATGGTCGTATGTTTGTAATGCTTTTCTGGCCTTAGACTCGAGTAAACTGACATCAGTTTCCAACTGTAAAATAAAAATAATCACAAGATGTTGACTTATAACATTTTCTGTCAAAACGACACAATATAAGAATACATACCTTAGTGAACATTGAGATTCTCCAATGATATACTTTAAAACAATTTCAATTTTGAACATATAGAACCTGAAGAATTTTAAATGCTCTTTGCATCAAGCCTCAAGTCATCTCCAGAATATATACAGATTATTATATAAAAGTGCATCTCCAATGATGTTATGAATGATTGTCAAATGACACATTCTTCATGAGTGGTCCAGAACCCACCTTAAACGATGTAATGAATGCTTGAGGCACCCACTCTTTCACAAGTGGTCCAAGCATCTTTGGAACCAGCTGGAGATGTATCTGAAGAGGACCACCTGATGACTGGATTTTATGTTCAGGCTGAAATATGATACGATGATTTTTACTTTACTTTTTTTTTTATTTCGTAAAATACAAGAAAATCTATTTTTACATTAATTATATAATAAGATCAATTAATGAATCTCTTACATCAGAAAAAAATGGGATATATGGGCTTGGCTATCAAATCCAAGATGCACAAAATATTTACAAACAATTCATCATATAAACTGCTCTTTTCATGGCAGCCATTTAACCAACATTAGTGAAGGGAATGGAAGTATTCCTTAAAAACAATCAAAGCTATTTCAATCTTACCATTTCACTGCTAGGAATGTAGAAATCTGAAACAGCTGCTGCAAGGTAGATCATCACCTTGCTACCAACTTGACCCAACACCTGGCATGCAGCCTTCAGTAGATACAAGTATTCCCCTACTGCATTGAAGTCAACATTGAGTAGTCTCCGCTCACTCTTTGATTGTTTATACTTGACCAGGATGGAACGTAGATTTGGTGCTTTCGCTTCATCAACTACAAAATTGCATAGAAAATTGTATAAAAGTTACCCTTTGCATCCATTGGACTTAGATTCTTAAAACATAATTTCATCTAGACTCTTTGAATTATTTATGGCTGGGCTGTGGCAGCCACTGGAAGTGGGGCAGGGCTGCTGAACTGCAAAATTGTCTTTACTATTCAGAGGTTGCTTTAAAACTTACTTCTGTGCTCAGGGTTTATATGAGTGACATTTACACCTACACTATGGGGATTGGATCCCTGATCAGAATGCTTTTTATAATGTTTTAATCCACCATTTTTCAGATTAGATGTACAAAACTTATCTGATCCAATTTACCTCATATTTTTTTAAAATACCTGAAATGGTATCATCCTCTCCTACATGTAGTGCATCTAGCATGGTTTGTTGTGAGAAGTGCCTGGTATAGGGCTCTAGGGATCTGTGGCGATGGAGAAATATCACAGCATACCCAGAATCTAAGAAGTGTCTTGAGAATGTTAAGAATAAAATAATGCACAGGTATTATTTATATACAAAGTAACAAGCTCAATGAGGTATAGTACTGATACAAAATAATAAAGGGTGAGTTTGCAAACTAAACAGAGTTCTCCTATCAAAATGGATTTGCCTATATACCCCTGAGACTCTTATCTGATAGATAGAATGCACAAATAAAACAATAGTTTTGCTATTATAGGTAAAAAGTTCTCTTAAAATTTCGAAGTGATTTTTCCTGTTAATTCTGTCATTGATCTGCCATTTTTTGGAAAGTTACACTGAAACACAAACTCAATGAAACGAAATCACTCGAAAAAGACATGGCACACATCGTGAGCATGCGTACTAAAAGTTTAAACCAATCAGATTATTTGATTATTTTGCGCACATGAATTATTTGCTTCTGAGCACTTACCATAAAAGCTAACCACAATCAACAAACCTGGCGGAGATTACCCTGGCCCTTACTTAATTTTGGCGAAATTTCAGGTCAAACTCGTGACAAATACATTATACATACGCTGGTATGAAGCCTTGGAGAAACTCATTTTGGTAATTATGATTTACGGTGTATACCTTTCTGCAGTTTGGGAAATTAAATGTTAGAATTCAAGAAAATATGAGACTTATACAACTTATCAATTAATTTATATCAGCATTGTACCTGTCGTACCAAATATCCCCAACAGGCTCAAAGTTAAATGGATCTCACTCAAACTTTAAAGGATACTCTGCTGATGATGCCCCTCTAGTTCCAATGCTAAAGTTGTCAATAAATCGAACTGTACGGCTCTCCAAGGGTACTGTTGTACCACCCGACTGAAATTATGAAAGTGGAAATTGGCTCAGAAAATATTAATACTGTTCATATATGAATAGATGTGAACATACACTTATGAATGTATATGAATATACAGTGTATTCAGCACAAACAGCAATGATTGTCACTGAAATCAAATTTATTAAAATTAAATATTTCCGTGGGTGATAATTGAGCACAAAATAAAGTTTGATTTTACTTTTAAATGATTTTAAAGAGTAAATCTAAGTTTTACTGTTATCAAAACAATCTTTGTAGTCTTCCGCCTGTGAAACTCAACAAACTGTAGCATAGCTTGCTTCTTTGCATCGTAGTTGTCAGGAACTTTCGTCTGCTCAAAAAAATCTGAGGCCGTGGTCGCCATCTTTGATTTCAAATCTCTAATTATCTCGCATAACTTTGAATCCTCATTCCACTAGTTACAATGAGTCAAACATCTTGAAATTTTCCTGCAGGTATCTCCGTGATATAGGAAATATATGACATGTATTTCATATCTTAATATATCTTATTGATACCGCAATCTGGTGTTGAATGTAGTCTCCGAGTTCAAGGTCACCGAAATCTCGTCAATTTTTGCAGCAGCAGAAAAGGTTTGGAAAATACAATTTCTTCAAAATATACATCTTTCATGTATCAAATATCCAAAACTTATTAATTTTGATATATTTTTAGATTTAAGTTTACGACTGATTCATAAGTTCAACGGCGAAAGACCAATGGCTCTCCAGACAGCTTTGAAAAGGTAAGTGTTATTTTTTGCATGCATCCATGAAAATCAGATCATGAAGATACGATCATGTTCGGCCCCTAAGACAATGATAGATAGTAGCCTACCACTAGGCATGGTAATACATGGTTCTTAGTTCATGTGAAAGCATACTTTCAGATCCCATTTATGTTCAGTGGATTGTTGGCCTCAAAGTTCTTGATACAAACCTACATGTAGAAATAAGGACGACAGTGCAATATTTCATTAAAAATACACTCCGCTTTTAGATGCAAAAAACTTGTTTATTTCAGATAAATTAGTTTTACGTGCAGTAAACCTGTTTGACCTTTAGTAATTAGCCATGACCACAAGACAGTCTATCAACCTGTACACTCCTGTAGAAGTTCCAGTTGTCTTGGCAATTTCTTTTAAGTTTCATCGATACACAACCTATTTGACTTCTACTGTAGTCATCATCTTCTTTGTATACTTGATTCTAAACTATTGGAAATTGGCTCCCTGTACCCACCCATGCTGTTTAACATAACATAACAGTGAATATAAATCAATAAAAAGTAATCCGAAACATCTGTTTTAAGTAGAATACTGCACAATACAAGTCCATATACTTGTGTTGTCGCGATTAATCGATACATCGCGATATACATCGCCAAAGCTGATTCTGGCGATGCATCGATGTCTGAAACAAAACATTGATGTTTTAAAAAAAAATTGATTTGTTAAGAATCGCCCTTTCTTATCTTATTTTGACGCATATAGCTTACCTTTTTTCATGTCTTTTTCATTTCATTTTCCAATGTTTTCTGATATTATTTCGCTAGTCGAAATGAACCATTAATCTAAAAAATGTATTTACTTTCATTTTACCGTTCCTAGAAGTTCCCGGATGTACCAGCATACTCTTATTAATTTGTTCTGTTTGGTATTTTAGTGCATTAGCGTTCGGTATTTCAGTGCACTTTTCTCAAAATTTTTTCTTGACGATTAGGCCATAAGAAGTAGGTTATTTGTTTTGCGTCATGGCAAAATCCAAATCATGCAAGGGTACAAGGAAAACAAACACAAACTCAAGAAAAAACAAAAACTTGTTTAAGGGCATATAAAGGAATGACATGCCAATTTGCAGTGATTACAAACACATATCTTTACATCCTATACAATATATTTAAGCATAGCTATTATTCAAGGGTACAAAATAAGAAAATACAAAATGTATGCTAAAGTAATCAATAACACTGTCAATTTTGACGCACATCAAATGATCTGCCATTTCGTCCGATTCTGATTGAATGAAATGCGATGGTATTTTCAAACCCTTGTAATTGCTATTTGGATGTGTTTGTTTTTTTCTGATTTACTCAAAATCGTGCAAGCAAGGGGACGCAAAACAGAGAATGTACTTCTTATGGCCTTATGGCACATCGCGACAACACTACCATATACATGTACCTTTGTACCAAGGTTCATTAGTTTTTGCCATTGTCCAGTTGAAGTAATGTGAAATCTCTTGAAAATGGTTTGACGAAAATTGTACTACAACTGTTGATTCAGGTCAAAATCACAGATAGAAAATTATCCTTCTTACGATGACAGGCTCTGGTTGGCTTGGTAAATTCAGTGGTTTAAACTCAGAGAATGTAGCTTCAAGTTAGATGAATACAAAGGCTGTCACTTTCACACCATGCAGACAGATCGCTAGCCTTGCCCAAGTCGGTATTTTTTTTACTAATCTGATCTTGAATTATTACCGCCTTGTACAATCCAATACATCTCCGCTGATATTGTGATGAGATATTCAATGGTTTCGAGATTTCCATAATACGTACACTATCAGGGGTATCGCGAAACCTTATTGATTGACAGATCACGTGGACGACGCGACGTGTGTCTTCAGGCTGATTGACCAATCAAAACGTTATCAGGTTGAGCTGCATAAACAAAGCAAACTTCCCGTCTACGACTTGAAATTGATCTGATCGAGTGTTTCTTTAGACTTGCAATATCATTCATGAAAATATTATGTAATTAAATGTACATTGGAATGTAAGAGTCATTAATATAAATTAAATCATGCGATTCAATGTTGATTTAAAATTGATTTCGCAATGAAAATGCACGATGAAAATGTAGCGGGTCATTGATCGAGTCGTCAATCAGTGATTCAATCTCAGCCTACATGTTCGATCATTTGAATTCAGCGATCGTTTCAAAGTTTATTGTTGAAATCTTATCACCTCCAGTTATCCAATCGATGCTCCGGCATCCACTAAACTCTGATTGATATTTATCTGATAAAATATTTGTATTAAGTTTCATGATGAATTCGTGCAAGATTTGTTCGTGAAAAGTCCCGGTTCAAAGTGAAAAGTGTTCTTGTTTTTGACCGTGCATAATAATGAGCTGACGCTACTGGGCCGTCGTTGATTGGTCAAATGTTACCGACATCAACAAACTGTCGGTAAAGCATATGGCTTTCTCTTTGGTACAAGCCGGTCATAATAGAAATCAAGATAAGTAAAAGAGACCGACTTGGGCAAGGTTAACAGATCGCCTAAAATTGCATTCGTATGATGTGAGACCCGACATTCACCGGGAAAGTAGAAACATTTTGTCACCCATGATGCAGATTAATTTTTTACTGCTTAATAAATGATGAATGACAGTCATATTAAGTTCTATATGTTTGAGAATAGCATGTCGTCTTGATATTGCAAGGTAACTCGTTCGAAAAATGATGACGGTGATTGAAATGATGATGTAAAGATAAAATGCAACTAAATATTTGTAAATTTCTTTGAAAAACTAAGAAAATCTCATATTGAATTTTCCAAAACAGGAAAAACATGTATAAATATTAAGGCATGAAGGTCCGATTCCCCCTGTTATCATTAACATTGGTCTCGTATAAGTCATACAATTGATATTTGAAACCCAAATATTATTCAAACTTATGATAGGACATAAGTATGATGTGTACTTCAATGTAATATTAATCATACTGATAACCGATCATAAGTTCGAATGATAGTTGTATGAGACCAATGTTGATGCTACCAGGGGGAATCTGACCTACAGGCCTTACTTTTTATATATGTTATGTGCTGGTGTGAAAAATTTGATATGTGATGTATATTTCTTAGTTTTTCAAAGAAATCTACAAATGTTTCATTACGGTTTTATCTTTACATCGTAAGTACGATCACCGTCATCACTTGAAATATCAAGACTTCATGCTATTCTCATACTTATAGAACTTAATATGACTGTCATTCATCATTTATTAAGCAGTAAAAAATTAATTTGGTTCATGGGTGACAAAATTTTTCTACTTTCCTGGTGAATGTTGAGTCTCGCATCATACGAATGTAATTGTTGGCGATCTGTCTTCATGGGGTGCACTTTGTTTGGTCTCTGTAATTGACAGATCTATGTATATGTGCTGCCATCTTTACAACCAGCAGAATCATAATTCTTTCAAGATTTAAAACTTTGTAATGAACAAGAGGCAAACTCTGATTCAGCATCTAATCAAAATATATTGTCAATTTCTTCAAGGAAAATACACTTTTATTAGTGTAATGTATATGTACATGTCTATGTATTAAACAGCAATATCAGTTAGCTTCTGAATAGCAATTTGCTTCTTGATTTGTTGCAGGTTGCAAATGTTTGTTATTGGTGAAGATCAGACCCTGTATGATATATGTATAATATCTAAGGAATGAATAAGGATAGGCCATTCAATACGGTGAAATTCAGCAGGAGTTGGACAGAATGTCAGTATAAAGCATGAACTGAAAGTGAGTGCATTTGTACTGACATACTGTCCACCGAGTATGATGTCACAGAGTGTGATGTCCCAGATGTGTTGTCACAATACAATTCAGATTCCTGGATGTGCATAATACACGATTGTTCATGTATGGAGAATTAGAGAAAGGCTATGCTGCATTCTGATTGGTTGAGAAACTCACTTAGAGAATGGTCATGTTTGACTATTATATAATATACATACCCCCTCAAAGTGAAAAATATGCCAGGTACTTATGGAAGCATAAAATTCAGTGAATGACATGCATTTTGATTTGGAAGGTGAATTTTTTTATTGACCATATTCCCAGTATTGTGGTTGGTCAAGGGTAGATTGAAAAATTATGTCTAATTCAAATATTAGAAAGGGTAGTCAATAATTCAATGTAGAATCCAAATAAACCCATAACATATCGAAACGGTTTTTATTTTCATTAAGGAAGTGAGTTCCATGACAGTATGTTAACTGTAATAATATTCTTGCATGTCAGAATGAAAGTATCAATTATGATATTTATGACCTTGACGTAAATAAGTTGTTATGATGTTGAACCAATCAGTGTATGTTTTTTCACCAAAATAAAAAGTATGTATCCAGTAACATTCTGTCTAATCCATGAAATTAAATAGAATATATTTTAATTAAGAACTTAAGCCTTTTAAGGTTAATTTCTTATTGATATGTGTGAAAGACCAACCATATAAAATCAAATATAGCATTCAGAAGAACTGTTTGAATGCTATTAATTCATTGTAAGTGTGTAAGCCCATTGACATTCTATAAATATTTTTATTGAGAGTGACTTACAATAGAAGGTAAAATTTTAGTAAAGTAAATTAGAATCATTTTTAGGACTTCACATACTGTATATTGAATACTGTGATATTCATGTAATGAACAAAAATGGCAAGATTTTATTTGAAACAATATTGGACAACTTTCATGGTGTTGAGTCTCTGGCTATTATGGACTATGCTTCATTCAGCTGTTGATAAGTGTGTTGCTAATAATCCATCAACTCACTTGATTGGTGAAATAAAATTAGATGAGATCTTTAGAAAAGACATGAAAAGATGGGACTCTAAAAAGCATGAATCTGTTAACCACTCTAAACAAATAGACACTGAATTGGCACCAACGTTTGGACAATATCTGACAAGTCTGAAGAAACGTAAAAGAAAACCAACTGCAACTAAAACCAAGAAGAGGATGAGTCAGAAAGGAAAGGATTTTAATGGAGATAGTAGAACAAAGAATAAAATTATTCAGATGAGTGGTCAGAATCATATTGAATCACTAAAAAAACACTCAAATCATGAAGGATATCATAACGAAATAGACCTTAATGATAAGACTCAGAAAGTTTCGAAAAAGAGAATTATCAAATTTGCAAATAAGTATCCTAACAATCTTTTGGAAGATCCCATAGATCCCAAAGGTAATGAAGGCACATATCAAGTAGACTTTCCAATGGATGTTGATGATAATGTTGATGATAAGGATGATGATGCTTTGCTTGGTGAACTTGAGATAGACCTTGACTTTGAAGGAGTTGTTGCGTTGCATGAATTTCAGTCGTACAAGTACATGTATGTGCCAGAGCTAGAAGAGGAATGAAAGTGAACAAGTGAAAAAAATTAAGAATTGAAGATGATAAAATATTCTGTTATGCTTGTCCATTTACTTGTATGTAATTGACAATTAAAACTTTATTCATTCTTTCATGAGACAATTTTGGTTCCCAAGAAAAACAGAATAATTAATTTGGAGATAGGTTCCGTAGTTAAGCCACCGACTCGAAGATAAACACAACAGTTAGGATGGATGTTAAAATGGACTTGAATAAATTTTTACCATTTAATTGATATACAAAATAAGATAGAGACTAAAATTACGAATCATACCAAAAAGGTTTTATATCCTAGCTATTAAGGTATATTAACAATAAAATATAGATGGAAACCTACCTGAGAGGGTATTGATTGTTTTTTTCACAACATCTCTAGTATCAGATCAAAGTTTTATAGATGGCGGCATATATGTCCCTATTCGTCATGAGGAATTGTGGATTGTGACATAATTAATCAAATGATTTTAATTTCCTGTTAAAATAACACAGTGAGGAAACATTTTATCAGGTGGAAATTGACTAACTAAAGTAATTTAGAGTATGGTTCATTTTGTTAATGTCATGAACAGTCGTATCAGAACTAGCCTTTCTGTACTCCTTATTGAGGATCCGATTACCATACATGTAGTTACCTTTTTGCATAGAAAAAGATGCATGATTTAATTTCTCAAAACAGAGATGTATCAACCTTCTCGAAAGCAAAATAATACAAATATTTAGTCCAATAACACCTTAGTGCTTTTTGAAAAAATGCTTCAAGCAGATTATTACAGGCTCATTAGAGATCATATTCACACGCTCGTTCTTGTCTCCGAACAATGGGAGCCGAGTGAGTGAAGATGAATAGAAATAACTTTGGAACCATTCTGTCCAATATAAAACTAACATAAGATCTTCTTGAAACTTTTATAATATTGTTTATTTATTTTAAATCATTTGTGATTATTTATTTATTTACATGTAGCAATTGAAAATTATCTACCATACATGCATATCTCATGACCAATTTATATAATGCAATTAAATTATTTTTCAGTAATTCTCAAAGGTACATCTTGATGAGCTTTCTAGACTTCTAACTCAGATGATGCTTTTTTAACTTAATTAAAACAATAATACAACTCCTTGTAGGTTTAGGGTTGAAAAGGGTGATATAGCCTAATGCATAGACTCATGAGTTTGAAGAAAGGCACATTACCTTTCCAACTGATTTTGTCTTCTCGAGGCTGTGTACTAGACTCAGTATATGCAATAAAAGAGTTCCATTTATATAATGTACATGTATTACATGTATTTTATTTATAATTAAGATCCCAGCAGGTCATTTGATAATTTAACTGAAAAAACATTGTATGAACCAACCCTTTTCTTTTGCTCTAAAAATGCAAAGAAATAGTTGAAATAAAAGAAAACAGGTTTGACCAGGGAGAATTTTGATTGACCTGGTAGGCACAACTAAACAGACAAATAATTTGTAAGGGACTAACTGGCACATTTATGAACCATTCTTGTGCACAGACCCTAAAATGTGATATCATAATTAACTCACACTACCCTACCTCGATCACGCATGCGCGAATTTTTTGGCTTTCAATCGGGTCGCTTTTGAGTATATCGACTGCTTACTCAAAAGGTTAATACGTTTGGTGCTCGGAGTGAGTCAATATTGCTATTCGCTACACTTCAGTGGTGCAATAGTGAAGTCGATGTTCCAAGTTATATGATAGTTATAGAAAGAATGAAAATAATATCGTTTTAAATTTTAAAATATTTGATATGTCATAGTACACGGTACACAGTTGCAAAAGTTGATCAATACAGGGTACAAGGAATGTAAATTGTTCAATAGTACAGGGAGCGAGAAAGTAAGCTGATTATACAGACATACTATGTCCCGACCTCATGTACATTTACGTTGCAAACAGTGAAAGTAATGCTAAAAAGGCCGCCTGTTGATGCTTTGGGGTGTCATCAATTGTTATTCAATCCAAATAAAGTAAACATTATTTTGTAGATTTTGACACGGGCTTTCAGGTCGTATGCATTTTAGTCATAAAATTAACAAGAACGCTAGATTATACGTGTTACTAAGGTATCAAATTGAAATAAAATAACGAAATTAAATATTAAGACGTTAATGATAAATGACTATCCGCTATCAGTATTAATGACTATCCGCTACTCAGAATAATTAAAATTGCCTGAACTGCATGTGCAGAATCTTTCTATATAACCCCTTGAATGATATAATTCACTACCGTCCTCAAAAACCGATCATTTAAAACGTTTTGTTCAAATTCACAAAAATACAGTTGAATAACATACTAGAAAACGTATCCACCTATAACACGATGACACGCAGTTTAAATAATAGTTAATTGGGTTTTTTGTTACATATCAATGTAACATTTTCGAAGGGAAACTTACATGCTCCCTGTACGTTGACAGATTTACTGAAATGTATCGTGTATTGCATTCGAGTTTTGCTTCACTGCGCCCACTATTATCTATCTTTGCCTATAGTGGTCTTTTGCCAACAATATTCTAAAAACTGCTTGATGAATCAATTCTATATCTGATAGAACACTAGAAATAAATGTAAAATGTATTTTACGTTCAGAAATATGGAATTAAACCCACGTCCTCCATTTGCAACTTAGCTGTACCCTGTCTCCATTTTAAACGTGGTCACGTGGTAGGGTAGTGTGTAACTGTATCATACCCATGAATTGAGGGGTTGCTTCCATTTGAGGGATTTCTTGTAGTTGTGCCTAAGCTTTACTTTCATTAATGAATGATGTTTTTGGGGCCCTGTTATTACTATGGTTACTAATGTTTTATTCCATGGATTAATTAATTCTGACTCAACAATTTCTCATGTCAAGGATAAAATGGTATAAACACGCAATATGCAATTTTTATTATTTCATTGTTATTGGTTATTTATACGCAGTATCTATGTATACACCATGACAGACCTGTTATATCTCTTGCAATAACCATAAATGTCATTTCATGATACTTGATATCTTCATTTTATAGCGTTACATTCTGTTCTGAACCTCAACTTTGGCTGTTTTAGTCATGTTTTTGTTATTTAACTTTAAAGAGAGAATCAGATTTAGTGAGCATGCTAAACAAAAAATTTTCAATTTTGGTAAAACCCAAAGTGCCTAAATATGACAAATTTTCAATTTACATAAATTATGTTTCGAAAAGTGTGTAATTTTTGTGCATGTTGTGACTAAATCAAAATGAAATCAAACTCTGTATATTGATACAGCAATATCATTATAGCAAAAGCAAGGAAATGAAAAATGCCCTGGTAGTTGTATACGATACAGGCAATATTATTTATAACTTTTATTGACATATTGTATCATATCATGATAACATTAGTCAAAATCCTGTTATCATGATATATTTTGTACTTTAGTCTTTTGTATTATGTCTTGATTTGTTATTAACATTGATCCTATGATGATTTACTAACTATTTGCTTTGTTCTGATGAGTCTGGATCTTAGTGATTAGAGCTTATATACAGTGTATATATAATCTGAATTTACATGAACATTATCCTATATCAGTATTTGGCACTGTGTCACTTAGAAATTTCAGTTAGGGTGAAAACAATGTGAAACTAATCGGAAAATTTATGGTTCACTAATAGAGTAACCGGGTCTCTATGAAAAAAGTCCTATCCCTTCTCTCACATTAGTTTCATATTACCCTTCATATTTTTAACAGAGAAACTCTATAGAGGTTTTGGAATAATCTGCTGTTAAGTATAAGTAATAATGAGTTTGTCTAATAATATATATAAAATCTTTTATACAAAATGATGTATATTTGGCACAGTCTGTATGGATACACTGAACAAAATCTTACTCATACAATTGAAAATTTAGTCACATAGCTCTCCCTGTTAAAGAGGGATATGTCGATTATGATGTTTTTAGTAACAGTGCATGTCTCTTAACAGAAGCTCAAGTAAAGTGGTTTCTGTGTCATACAAGGATTTCAATGATGTCTTGTTTCTATGACACAATCATGTACATTTTATTAGACCTATAAATAATCAAATTGAAAATAAAATGAAATCTGTATTATATATCACAAAAACTCCAGAAACCACTTTATTTGAGCTTCTGTTAAGAGACATGCACTGATACTAAAAACATAATAATCAACATATCCCTCTTGAACAGGCAGAGCTATGTGACTAAATTTTCAATTTTAGATATCTTCTTAGTCTTGAAACAAATAAAGATTTTTCATTTTGAATTATTTTTCATTTACATTAGTTTGACATCAGTCAGTGCCCCTCCAGTATCTATGCTATGCCTCAGTGGCAATCTCCTTAAGTGATTGATCTGTGAGTTGTTTCCTATAACGTGGATGTAACCCTAGTATCTTATTCTATTTTTGTAGTCAGTGTGAGGTTAAATAACTCATTCTCTATTGTGCGAATTGATTTATAGTGCCTGCCAGTTTATCAGCATGGGAGCTTTATAATTTAATGTACTCTGATTATAGTTGATCTGTTTCCAAATACTGTAACATTAAAAAGTCGTTTCGGAACATCAAGGCTGAGTAAAAAATTAATTACAGGATATAGATGACTTTAATATAATACATACAGTACAATAAAATGATACATTATTGAACAATCATCATATATTATTTATTTTGTGACAATGTAATGTGACTAAGTATTTTTCAAAAGGTATAGGCTATGCTGAGTGCCATAGACTTTTTCTGACTTTGGTTAAAATAAGCTTGTACTTACTTATATGATTCCTAAATATGCTTTAATTTTTTAACAAAATGAGGTAATTCATCAACAATACACTGAAAAGGTATTCTTGTGAGATATCTAGAATTTTTTCTTGAAGGTGCTCATTGAACTCAAACGAGCTTTATGTTAACTCATCGTGCCATGGAATAATAATTTCTATTTTCTAGCTTATACGTCAATTATTATAGAAGTTAGACCAATCTGACATCCTTGTTTAGTGTACTTTAAGTTTACTCATGGGCTTTCGCGAAAGCTTTCTCTTGAAAGCCCATGGTTTAATGCATGTCATAATAGTTTTTCTTGAACCGCATGATGCTCGAATATAGGAGAGTTTCCTTCAGATTTATCTTCATCAGAATCAGCCTCGATCCAAGGTATATTAATCAAAGTATCTGTAAAATCTTTGGGCTGATCCTGCATACATAGTACCTCATCAGATATGGTCATTCGGGAACTACAAGGCAATATAGATGTTTCTTGTAAATCTGATATGCTACATTTATCATTTATACTGCCGTTGCAACTAAAATTGGTATCACTTAAGATTTTATCAATGATAGATATTGATATTATCCTCCTATTTTGGTTTCCTTTTTTGAGAGTACTTGGTATATATGATGTTATATTTTGATTTTGATATCGTTGAGTCGCTTTAAGGGATTCAAGACCTGAGTCGACAGATTCGCTGTACGATTTATGAAGTCTCGTGTTATTTACTACTGTTTGCCTTGATCCTCTGTCATCCTTAATGCTGAGGGATATTGTTCTGGGTACTACATGCATACCAATGGGTGTTAGGAGCTGCTCCTCTCTATCCATGTGGTCAGTTCTCACATACTGTAAGGCCTTCTGTGTTGGGTATTGGATCATTGTAACAAATGTATCATTCTTTGAGACACATTGTCTGGCCTGTTGTCATAATAGTGTTTCCTCTTGACTAGGGGCCCGAGCATCTTCTTCAACAACAATTTGGAGGATCTCATCCTCCTCTTCGTCATCATTATACTGTCTTGGATCATTATCATCCATATCTTCATTGGAGCTACTGTCATCAAACTCGGGGACATCATGAATTACATGGTCATCAGTGTCAGTTATAATAGCATTTCGGTTAACTGTCTCCACATGTGTTTTATAGCAACAGTGTACTATAATCGCTATGACGATTATTGCTGTAAGGAGCAGTATCACAACTATGATTGTTATCTCCATGGAGTGGCTTGTTCCCAAGCTAGGTTGAACTCCATTAGGGTCCATTTAGAAACAATGTTTTGTGGGCTCTGTTAATGCCTCATATATTTTTTCAGTAATGGGCTCCAAGTGCCCTCATCCATTTAAATCCCACTTATATATTGTCCCTCATGTGCAACCTACATCTGAGTGAGGTCAGTTTCTTTAGGAACACCATTAAACTAAAAGCTTATATATATTTTCATCAGTGTCTTACATAAATAATGTTAAGTCAACCAACCCTCATGTCATCATTAATGCTCTCTGTATGAGGATTAAATTCTGAGAATACAGAGAATCATTAATTTTCTGTTCTGGAATTTTCAGCAGTGCAGAATGTTGCTTTAATCCCTTATGATAGCTTCTCAGTGTCTAATTGAAATATGATTCATGGATCAATGGCCTCAATAGTGAGATATCCCGTTGTATTATAAACCGTCTAACCATCTCAGATATGATCACATATTTCTTTAACACACGCAAATCAATCTGCATCTAATTCATCCAACTCACAGACCCATCACTTTGTGCAGATATTAACCTATCGCTCTTATTAGATCACCTAAATTATTTAAAATCGATCAATAATTTCATTATATCAACTGATATCTTCGCAATCTGGCAAAACTCCTGCTTGGTATGTTACATTGTCAAGAGACTGGTTATGTCAAACGAAGAGTTAAAATAATGATTTTACTATTATAAAATTGTCATTTCCGATCTTGTCTTATCTCGGAAATAAATGCATTTGTTAATGATTTTGCCATTCACTGAGCTCTTTACTCAATTATCTTGAGGACATATTTTATTTGCATTTAATTGTTGTTTTTACGAGTGATGAAAATGTTTTATTTTCTTTTTCTATAGTAATAATGATCGGAGAGTATTCACATCCTTAGATATTGTTATCCTATGAAGTGTCTAAATAACTTGTGAGTTGTCCTCAGAATATTAGTCAAAGTTATGACTTTCAATAATGCCTTTTATATATAGGCTATGTATTGAATGTCATTGTCCTTTCCATTGATGGACTTAATTGCTCTTTCATTAGCTGGAACAATTGAAGCTGTACTTTCAGCTTGGTTATTGTCTTTGTATTACTGTGTCCTAATTGTGTCAATTAGCAAATGCCATGTTAAATGCCATTTGCCCGAAGAACTTTTGAATACGTTGTGATATTTTTGTCCGTAAATTACATGTGTTTTTACTGTTTATATGTAAGAAAGTTATACTTTTATCAGTGAATCATTGCATTTGTCCAAAGAATACCTGATTCTTATTGTAAAGTTAATTTAAGATTGGTCATCAATATTAACTTGTACATAAGTTTGTTTCACAGTTCCACATTGTTTTTAATCTGTTCTCTATCTTTAGGTGATTAGTTTTAATTCTCCTAGAGCTCAACTACAACAGTTAAAGGTGTCCTGTCAGTGGTTCCATAATTATCATCATCTTCTTCCTCTATAATCTCATCCTCTTTCATAATATTCTTATTTTCCAGATGTTTAATGTAACACGTATGGAGCACACCTACTAGAATTCCTATTGATGTAGTAGTCAGAATGATCACAATGATAATTGCCTCCATGTGGAATGCTGCAGGAATCTCAGTTTAGATTTATCCGCTTTACATTAATTAACTGGCAGATTCCATCGAGTTATTTCTATTGTTCTAGCGAGATTCTTACATTCCTTGTGCTCACTTGGAACTGTTTTATTTAAGTGTCAGATGCTGTTTTGTGTCAAAATTGTAGAATTTGTCTATTCTAGCTCATCTTTGTACCTGAAAAATAAAACATAATATAGATGTATTAAATCAATGCAAGAATAGAAACGTACAAGTATCAAGCTAAAAGGTTACTAAACTGTATGTAATGTTTTTTAAGTCAGGCCCGTAGCCAGGATTTGCCAAAGGGGGTTCAATTTTCAAAAATTTCCAGGGGGGGTTCACATTTGACAATTTTGGCCCAAATATGGCTAAAATCACTTGAGAAGTGCTCAAAATGGTGAAAAACTGCATGATTTTGAAAAAAATTTTGGCCAGGGGGGGGGGTTCGCAGGGTTCGGTCCCCTGGCTACGGGCCTGTAAGTGATGTTTATAGGTCAAGGTCATTTGAAGGTCAAAGGTCTTGCCATTGTAAGTCTAAGTATGGATACGGAAAAGCCATTCATCCAACAATCTATTTGTCTGTTCAGATGATAGCTAAAGTACTGTTTATCGGATTTGGTATAGGCATTAGACTTCTGCTCAATATGGTCACTCAAGTCAAACTGGTTACCATGTTTCATAATATAATTTTTGATTATTCAGATAATTCAGTCAATTTTGGATATAACTTTTTTTATTATTTATTTTTTCTCGAATCTCTCATTTCCTCACTTGGATCATATTTAAAACCAATACTACTTATGTGATTAATAAATGTGTGAAACAATGTGAGATTTGATGGGTGACTTAATAATATGTTTTGCCTTGTCAGTAGTCTAGCTACAAGCCCCTGTAACCCCCTCCCACTACTTGACTACACACCTTCTCACACAGGCGTAAGGAGATTTGTAGTGCCTGTTGTAGATAGGGGGGGGGGGGGTGGTCACAAGGGCTTGTAGCTAGACTACTTAGTCAGTGGGATTTGTTACTCCTCAAGGATTAGTTAAAATGGCTCTTGTAAAGGTCAAGGTTAAGAAAGTCACATAAAATATAAAATGCATTAATGCAGTTTTATGCACATTTTCCAGGCTAATGGCCACCTTTAAGTTTACCATAACCCCAGACTAAGCCATTTGCACAGAATGGGTGCTCACTTCTAATTAATGTACTTTTCGTATGATTAATTGAAGGGTCAAGTGATCTCACTTTGATTGATAGCTTCCTACAAGAAAATAGACTTACAAGAATACTGTCCCTAATTTAGAGAACATAATACCATGTGTTCATTGATTTACGTAATGGCATTTCGTTTGTCTTTATATACTTGGCTTTCCATTATTTCCATCTTTAGATACGCTTGTAGAAAGAATATTATTATATTATACAAACATAAAGTGGCATCATCTTTAAGCTTGATGTTCTTTTATCTCATCTATTACAACTGTTCATTTCTTTATGGAGGATTAGAGATGTGATAAATTGTATGGTACTTAAAGTATAGTAAATGTCATCTTCCCTCACCTACGTAAAATAACTCTTAAGATGCATTGTTTATAATGATTTTTCAATTATATCAGTCAACATTTTAGACAATCCAATCTTCAATAACGGAATTATCGGATTATGGTGATCGCATATCAAATTGTCTTAGAAAACCCATTACATTTTCACATTGGTAAGCCAATCATGAAATGACTTGTGTATTTTCTTTCAATTAATTTCTTGTAGAAGAGAAAATCTGTTCTTTAGAGATGCTTTATTATTCTGAGTGATGGGTTAAAAGCTCTATTGAATTCCATCTCTCTCATTGGGGATTAATTTAGCTCCAGACTTAAGTTGGACCTTAGAGGCCCAGTAATCTCCGCCTATGATTCTGAGGAAATTAGACCCTGTTGCACCCACATATTTGTGTAAGTTTTCTCGCAGTGGGTGTCTCTGTTGGAGCATTTATTGCCAGGGCTCAAAACTAGTTATTATTGCCCATGGGCAATCATTTTTCATTTTGGCAATTAACTTTAAAAAAGTGATTGTCAACTGAGTATTGAGATTAGTTTAATGATTATTACTGTTGAACACCCTAAATCTTATTACATATATCTATTTTGTACATGGGAAGTTTTACTTTGTATATGTATTGCATATTGAGAGAAAATTTGATGAATAATGGTAAAATATTGCTGATAATTTGATAAACATATTCTTCTTGTATAGTATGCTTGATAAGGATGGTGAATAATTCAAAAATTGATGACATTAACACTCAAATGTTGCATTTTCTTTATTTCCCTTGATACCATTGTACTATACAATATTGCAAGCCCTTGTTATATGTCTGCCTTGAAGCTTATAGAACATAAAAATCCGTATTCACAAGATTAATTCTTGGGAATATTTCTGTCAACATATATAATCTTGGCAACTGATTATTAATTATTTGTTGCATCCGTATGGGCTGTAAAAACTTACAAAAAAAATATTGGCTGGATAACTAGTTTCCATAATTCTGTGGCCTGGACAGAATTCATCAAAAGTTCAGGATTTTGTAGAATTCCTGATTTTCCTGAAATTCCCGCGGAATTACCAGAATTACATGTTTTTATAAGCTCCTACCATTGATTTTTTTGGAAAATTTGTGCAGAATTTCGATTTTCCCCCAGCAGAATTTCTTTTTTCTTGCATGTTTTAAAATCCCTGAATATTTCATTTGCAACTCAATTTTCATTTTGAACTCAAGAAAATAAAAAGTAAAAAAGGGAAAAATCAAAACCATAATATTAACTTTCTCTAGCCCAATAAGAGTAAATTAACTTTACAGAACTGTTCATTTGTAAATCATAAAATCTATCCATCCATCCATCCATCCATCCATCCGTCTGTCCCGAATTGTAAAAAGGATGTTTTTCTGCATTTTTATGTTGCAACCAAGAAGTGATGACTTATCACTATTCCCATCATGTTATTTGTGACAGCTATTCAGCATCAGGATCTGTAACGATTGTTACATTTTCCCAGTTAGTGATATTTTGTCATGAATAATTCTGACAATTCTGATAACTATATTCAGATATTCCTATTCGATTAATGTACTAATAGGCTTCTTTAATTTTGACCTTTGAACAGAAATTCTGTTTTCCATCAGCATATTTTCTCAATCAATTTGCGTG